CATCCGTCCATCCATTCACCTAGCTTTCTCTCCATCCATCTGTTCATCCATCCACCCACCCATCCATCTACTTATCTACCAACTGCCTAATTACCTTGTCCTCTGTCATCATCTCCTCCATTATCTATCATCCTTTTTCAGATGTATTCGTTTATCCATCCACCCACTCATCCCTCTATTGTAATCATCCATCCATCTATTCATCCACTCATCCATCCATCCAGGGAACCAGGCAGTGCTGAAGTGCACAGACTGCCACTAACTACTATTGTGACCTTGGCCAGTCACTTCCTTTTATCCGTGCCTCTTATCAGTTTCCCCATATGTACGATGGGGGGATATCAGTAGGCAGCCCTCCGAAAGAGTGTAAGAGATGTGAGAATAAAACATTTCTTCACGGAAGCAGTGATGATTACGGTTGTCACTGTTGCTATTATCATCACTGACATTCCCACTGGGGATTTCTGCAAGGGAAGCCGGTGCCCAGAGAGGAACGGTGACTGGCCGGGGTCCCACCAGAGCCAGGGTCAGACTCCTCCATCCCGGCTTGGGTGGTGGGTGGTACAGCCTGTGAGCAGGCCTTCCTGGGACACAGAGCTCAGGCCTCCGTCTGTCCACTGTCACGCCCAGGTGGTGGTGTCCCGCGTGGCCCGAGTGTGCAAGAACGACGTGGGAGGCTCCCCCCGCGTGCTGGAGAAGCAGTGGACTTCCTTCCTGAAGGCGCGGCTCAACTGCTCTGTGCCCGGGGACTCCCACTTCTACTTCAACGTGCTGCAGGCTGTCACAGGCGTGGTCAGCCTCGGGGGCCGGCCCGTGGTCCTGGCTGTGTTTTCCACGCCCAGCAACAGGTCAGCGCCCACCAATGGGAGCGAACTGGGAGCATTTGGTAGGCATGGGTAGAGAGCGCTTGCATTCACTCCTCAGATATGCCCAGGGTCCTAGGTTGGGCACCACTGGATTAGACCCCTGAGAGGCCTCGGCCCCAGGCTGGGGTGAGACAAGCTGACAATGACCCTCTAAGTCCCTTTGGTCAGAACTGGGCCAGAGATATCCTCATCCTCTGCCTTTGGGGAGAGGAGCAGGGAGGGCTTCCTGGAGGAGGGGACATTGGAGCTAGGCTTCAGGTGTGAGATGGAGGAAGAGGGAAGGGTGTTCAAAGTTGGAGAAACAGCACATGCAAAGGTCCTGAGGCTGCAGTGAGTTCGGTATGTTTAAGGAATCTCGAGAGGGCCTGTGTGGGAAGGGAACCAGGGGAGAATGGACAACACGAGGGCAGGGAAGTGATGGGATGGATCAGGCAAGGCCTTGTGAGCTGCAGGCAGACACCTGGACTTTTTCCTGAGAGCACTGGGAGTCATGGAAGAGTGAAGAGCAAGAGGGATGAGATCAGATTTGCATTTTTGTTTGTTTGTTTGTTTTTGAGACAAGTCTGGCTCTGTCGCCAGGCTGGAGTGCAGTGGCACTATCTCGGCTCACTGCAACCTCCGCCTCCCGGGTTCAAGCATTCCTCTGCCTCAGCCTCCCAAGTGGCTGGGATTACAGGCACCTACCACCACTCCTGGCTAACTTTTTTTGTATTTTTAGTAGAGATGGGGTTTCACCATCTTGGCCAGGCTGGTCTTGAACTCCTAACCTTGTGATCCACCCGCCTTGACCTCCCAAAGTGCTGGGATTACAGGTGTGAGCCACTGCACCCGGCGGTTTGGTTTTTTTTTTGAGACGGAGTTTCACTCTTGTTGCCCAGGCTGGAGTGCAGTGGCACGATCTTGGCTCACCACAACCTCTGCCTCCCTAGTTCAAGCAATTCTCCTGCCTCAGCCTCCTGAGTAGCTGGGATTACTGGCGCGTGCCACCATGCCCGGCTTATTTTGTATTTTTAGTAGAGATGGGATTTCTCCACTTTGGTCAGGCTGGTCTCAAACTCCTGACCTCGTGATCCACCCTCCTTGACCTCCCAAAGTGCTGGAATTACAGACGTGGGCCACCGTACCCGGCCCAGATTTGCGTTTTTAAAAAGCCTGCTTGTGGGCCGGGCACAGTGGCTCATGCCTGTAATCCCAGCACTTTGAGAGGCTGAGGAGGGCAGATCACTTGAGGTCAGGAGTTTGAAACCAGCCTGGCCAACATGGTGAAACCCCCGTCTCTACTAAAAATACAAAAATTGGCTGGGTGTGGTGGCAGGCACCTGTAATTCCAGCTACTCGGGAGGCTGAGGCAGGAGAATCGCTTGAACCCGGGTGGTGTAGGTTACAGTGACCCGAGATCACGCCACTGCACTCCAGCCTGGGCGACAGAGCAAGACTGGGTCTCAAAAAAAGAAAAAGCCTGCTGGGGAATGGGTTCTAACAGTGGCAGTGGGGAGGCAGGACATCCAATTAAACAGGGATGGGGGCCTGGACAGGGGGCGGCCTCGTAGACCCTGAACTGTGGTCCAATCTGAGATGTTACTTAGGAGGAACGGCTGCATTTGACAGAGGCGGGAGGGACACGGGATCTCTCTGGCGCAGGAAGACTGAAGATTCGCTGGATCCTGCGGACAGAGGCTCCTGCCTGTGATTGTCTGAGATGGGGCCTCCCACCGGGCTCACCAAATTCTTTCATCCCAACCCCTCAGCATCCCTGGCTCGGCTGTCTGCGCCTTTGACATGACACAGGTGGCGGCTGTGTTTGAAGGCCGCTTCCGAGAGCAGAAGTCCCCCGAGTCCATCTGGACGCCGGTGCCGGAGGATCAGGTGCCTCGACCCCGGTGAGAATCCCCCCCATCCTGAGTCACGTGCCCAGATGAGGTCCTGATCCCCAGGGCCGGGGACTGAGGCTTCCAGGTGGTTATTTAGCTGATGCTGAGTTCAGCTGTACCCATTATGCAGATGGGAAAAACTGAGGCTGGGCGCGGTGGCTCATGCCTGTAATCCTAACACTCTGGGAGGCTGAGGTGGGTGGATCACCTGAGGTTAGGGGTTTCAGACCAGCCTGACCAACGTGGCGAAACCCTGTCTATACTAAAAATAACAAAAATTAGCTGGGCGTGGTGGCACTATGCCTGTAATCCCAGCCACTCGGGTTAGGAGAATCACTTGAACCCAGGAGGTGGAGGTTGCAGTGAGCCAAAGCACTCCAGCCTGGGCGACAGATTGAGATTTCGTCTCAAAAAAAAAAAGCAACTGAGGGCCGTTGGGCAAAGCAATGGGTACCCCTGGTGAACCAGGCCCCTCTATGAGGACTTTTACGTTCGTCCTGACCACACCCCTGCCACCCCCAGGCCTGGGTGCTGCGCAGCCCCCGGGATGCAGTACAATGCCTCCAGCGCCCTGCCAGACGACATCCTAAACTTTGTCAAGACCCACCCTCTGATGGACGAGGCGGTGCCCTCGCTGGGCCACGCGCCCTGGATCGTGCGGACCCTGATGAGGTCAGTCCTGGAGGGGCACGGCGTGGCGAGGGGAGAGAGGATGGGGTAGACTGAGGGTGAGAGGATGCAGATGCTCAACACAGCTGAGCCCATGGCTGCCGGCGCTGCCCAGAGAGCTGGAGACAGAGAGAGACACAGAGAGACAGAGAGGGAAAGATGGAGAGACACTAGGAGAGGGAGAGAGAATAAAGAGATAGAGAGGGATGAAGAGGTGACAGGCAGGGGGCCAGGCACAGTGGCTCATGCTTGTAATCCCAGCACTTTGGGAGGCCGAGGTGGGAGGATCACTTGAGGTCAGGAGTTTGAAACCAGCCTGGCCAAATGGTGAAACCCTGTCTCTACTAAAAATACAAAAATAATCAGCTGGGTGTGGTGGCGGGCGCCTGTAGTCCCAGCTACTTGGGAGGCTGAGGCAGGAGAATCACTTGAACCCAGGAGGCAGAGGTTGCAGTGAGCCAAGATCATGCCACTGCACTCCAGCCTTGGGCCAGAGGGAGACTACATCTCAAAAAAAAAAAAAGAGGTAGACAACAGACAGACGCACACTAGGAGAACAAAGGAGGAGAGAGACAGAGACAAGGAGAGAGACAGTCAGAGACAGACAGATACCCAAAGAGACAGAGACAGGGAAGAGAGACAGAGAGAGAAAGAGACTAAAAGGTACACAGGTACACATACCCATCAGGAGAAAGGGGGGCCGGGCACAGTGGCCCACGCCTGTAATCCCAGCACTTTGGGAGGCCGAGGTGGGAGGATCACTTGAGGTCAGGAGTTTGAAACCAGCCTGGCCAAATGGTGAAACCCTGTCTCTACTAAAAATACAAAAATAATCAGCTGGGTGTGGTGGCGGGCGCCTGTAGTCCCAGCTACTTGGGAGGCTGAGGCGGGAGAATCGCTTGAACCCAGGAGGCAGAGGATGCAGTGAGCCGAGATCGCGTCACTGCACTACAGCCTGGGCGACAGAGCGAGACTCTGTCTCAAAAAAACAAAACAAAACAAAACAAAAATTGGCCAGGCGTGATGGCACGCACCTGTAGTCCCCACTACTCAGGAGGCTGAGGTAAGAGAACCGCTTGAACCTGGGAGGCGGAGGTTGCGGTGAGCTGAGATTGTGCCACTGCACTCCAGCCTGGGCGACAGAACGAGACTCTGTCTCAACAAAAGCGACAGGGCCAAGTAGAGTCTGGTTTGGGGTTATGTTTCTGGCGAGTGTACCCACGTGCCTGTGTGATCACCCATGTCTCCAGCATCCATGCACACACGCATTTGTTGCTGTCACGTGGTGTGTCACTGTCTGTATGCACCCGTGTAACCATGCCCATGCCCGTGTTGGTGGCAGGTGGTGGCCGGAGGACCCCTGGGGGATATGGGGCCAGCCTGACCCTCCCCTGCCCTGTCCCCCAGGCACCAGCTGACTCGAGTGGCTGTGGATGTAGGAGCCGGCCCCTGGGGCAACCAGACTGTTGTCTTCCTGGGTTCTGAGGCAGGGACCGTCCTCAAGTTCCTCGTCCGGCCCAACGCCAGTACCTCAGGGACATCTGGGCTCAGTGTCTTCCTGGAAGAGTTTGAGACCTACCGGCCAGACAGGTGAGTCCAGGCAAAGACGGGGAGGGGTCGCCAGCAGGAGGGGAGATGGGCTGAGTTGCCCTCAGCCTCACCACTCTGCTTGTCCCCAGGTGTGGACGGCCGGGCGGTGGCGAGACAGGGCAGCGGCTGCTGAGCTTGGAGCTGGACGCAGCTTCAGGGGGCCTGCTGGCTGCCTTCCCCCGCTGCGTGGTCCGAGTGCCCGTGGCTCGCTGCCAGCAGTACTCCGGGTGCATGAAGTGAGTGCCCACCCCAGGCCCGCTATGGGCAGGAAATGAGGGAGGATGGGCACAGGGAGGGAGAGCTGGGTTCCAATCAAAAGCCCAACAACGTCCTAGTCATTGAGCTGGGCAGAGGGCACGGCCCATGCAAAGGCCCAGGGGCAGGACCACGCCTGGTGTGTTGGAAGAACAGTGAGGTGGCCGGTGTGGCTGCAGCAGAATGAGCAAGGGGGAGAGAGGGAGGAGGGGAGGACGGGTAGGGGATGGGAGGGGATGGGGCGGTTTGTGCAGAGCTTTGTGGGCCTCAGGGAGGACTTGGGCTTTGACCTCAAGGGAGGTGGGAGCCATGGAGGGTTGCAGGCAGAGGAGGGACTGGCCGTGACTCCGGTGCTTACAGGTGCCCTCTGGTGGCTGCTCCAGGAGGAGACTGCAGGGGAAGGAGAACCAGGGACCACGGCGGAGGCTGTTTCCCTGTCTCTAAAATGGGAGGAAAGCTAGGATGCATGCCAGTGCTGGCGCACACCTGGGCTCCGTGTGAGCCGTCAGTGCAGAGGACCCTGCCTCCTGCCCACCGTTATCGCAACGATGACCCAGTGGCTCCAAGTCCAAGGGCACAGCCTCTGGCACGAGGCCTGGGCTCCCATCTCAGCTCTGCCGCTTGGGCAGACATTTACTTTCTGGAGCCTCAGTTCACTTACCTGTAAAATGGGGAGTGAACAGTGTCCTGCACACGGGTTTGTTCTAAGGACTCCAGGAGTTGCTATTAAGAGGAGGGACTGGGCTTCATAGCTCACGCCTGTCGTCCCGGCGCTTTGGGAGGCCAAGGCAGGAGGACTGCTGCTTGAGCCCAGGAGTTCGAGCCCAGTCTGGGCAACACAGCATAGTGAGACCCTGTCTCTAAAAAAAAAAGTCAGCAGGGCGTGGTGGCACACATCTGTGGTCCCAACTACTTAGAAGGCCGAGGCAGGAGGATCATTTGAGCCTGGGAGGTTGAGGCTGCAGTGAACTATGATCATGCCACTGTACTCCAGCCTGAGTGACAGAGCCTGACCCTCTCTCTTAAAGAAAAAAAATTAAATTTTAATTAAAAAAA